TCTGCACCAAGCCCAACATTATTTCCAGTGTGCATCTGGAGCGTGAGCTTCGCCCGGGGTTGAGGCCCTGACAAAGTGCGAGCGTACAGCTGCAGCAGCGCTGTACTCTGAGCGGAGCAGCTCCGCTGTACACTGTGCCGACGACTCTTACCTGCTTCATGATGAAGCTGGGGATGGACTGGCCATGGGACTTGAGGAAGTTCTTGCCCTTATTCCGGGTCAGGAACTCGGTCAGCCGCTCCATCCTCCTGCGGCGAGTGAGGCCAGTCACTTGGCGAACGCTGGGAGATCGACGCGGTGGATAGACGGCCGGCAGCTGACTGTAACCTCAGGTGCATTGGCGGCGCGACAAATCCTACCCGATGTCGGCCTGGGACCCACAGACCAGGCTCGCCGTCGGGAATCATGCCCACCATAGTCAGACCTTCGGTGTGCGCATCCTCTCATGCCACGTGCACCCAGTGACGTCACCATCTGGCGTTATGTCCGAGACATCGGTATTCAAGGGCTTAAAGGCAGTGATTTTGCAGATTATTTGGTGCAGTTCTTGGCCATGCCCTTCTTAAGCCCAAAACCTTCTAGCTTCTGGGCTAAACGCACGCGAGGATGTGCAACTACTTCAAGGTCATTGAGGCATGCATGACGCCGTGACAAGGTCACTCAAATCCTACCACCCCAGACGAGGCGGTGTTTAAGGCCAAGAGAAATATTATCGTCCAGCCGTTCAAATTTGGCAGACGTGGACACGATTTCGAAACGATTTGGACGTCAATTTGCTCCCAGCGTTGAGGAAGCTGTGCACGATTTAATGACGGCTGATGTTTTGTGCTGCGCAATATAATAAGTTGGACATGGTTTCTTCACTCCTACTTCTTACGAAAATAAGACTCGCAACCAAATAACCTAAGAATAACGCCGTACCGAGTGTGCGAACACGGGCAATAATCTTAAACTCACGGATAAATATGCAAGAAAACCACGAGGAAAGGAAAAGCACGAACACATGACAATATTTCGCTAAGCAAACACTTCCAGCAGCGTGCTGCCAGCTCTCGATAAGTTTGAGGCACTAGAAGTGGTAATTTCGCACCGCGAGTGTGGCAGTACCTCAACATCATACAAATGTCCCATGACGCAATGAAGCAATAACGTATTGAGGGACACATTTATTTAAGAGACATTCTCTTGTCTAAAGGAGTCGTTTCAAGTTAAAAGTACACCGATAAGTGAGTTGATGTCATCATATCTAATATTTACTTCAATATCTTCAAATGTAGAACATTCCCCTTAAATGATTCAGCACTGGCCATCACCGATAGCTATAAGTGAAGTAACACCGATAGCTACAAGAGAAGTTGATGTATCATATCTGATACTTGCTTCAACATCTTCAAATGTGTGAACATTCCCTTCAGATGACTCAGCATTGGCCTACACCCGACCGTTACAGGTCAATGTGATTCAGGCGGAGACAAACCGACTCGACACGGTCAATAGCGACGAATGACATCCACGCTATCCGGTTGTCGGCAAATCAATACCACCACCCGCGATCAGATCAATACCGCGCGCCCTGAACAACGTCCCGCTTCGCTAACAACTGCGCGTGAAACATAAGCCGCGTGGGCCACAGTACGGAATAGACGCTAGCGGCGAGGGTGTGTCGCTTCAGTGAAGTTCATATCTGCAAGTAAGCGAGCGTTTTATGAGGCGGGTGCCAGAGATTGGACCAAAGGCAGTCGAGAGGCTCTGTCGAAAGGTTAGGGTACCGGCGTCAGCTGTCCCGCGAGTGCGCCTGCTTCCGGAGGCTGATTCGCATCGTTCTAACGGGCCTAAACCCAGCACGCGCGAGAAATCGGAGGTCCCGGCTCCAAATCGTTCCCCTCCCCTCGGCTCCCCGCCAGTGTGGGACACGCTTCTCAAGAACCAGGACCGTTTGGGCCGTCCTCACGCGAAGCACCGTCGGTCCGCGCCGCATTACGGCCTGACGACGTCGCCAGACGTCGTAACTGGAGCCCGAGACGCAAGAGACGATGGGTGGCTTGGATCGCGAAAATCCTGCCCCCCCCCCCCTCTTTATCCGACATTGTGAGTCAGCCCACAACAAGAGCAGGAGGAGGAGGAGGGGTCCTTCATATCATCCTCGCTCGTTGCGAGCCAGCGCCAAGTTTGTCCATTATCATTCCTCATCCCCGCTCGTTGCAGCCAGCGCCAGTTTTGTCCATTCGTTCCTATCAGTTCACCGGACCCGGTTGTCACAACCGGGACTGTCAGCCATCACGACACTGCCAGTGTCATGACACAATATCCCGTGTGTGGCCGCGGACTGGAGCAGGCGGCGGCGCCGACACGGCTTTCGTTCGGCCGACTGAAGCGCTGGCCGGCTCAATTCCCCGTCGCTGGACGCCGCCAGCCCGTGCCATGAGCAGAACCTCACCGCTCCGTCAACCACGCCAGGAGCCGACCCCTCAATGGGAGACAACCGACGACGATGTGCCGGCGCTGGTGTTCGCCACCGCTGGGGGTTACCCCACCGATTGTCCCCACTACAACGCTGTGAATACATCTCCAAACGTCCCGTCTCTCTCGCACGCCAAGCGGCATAGACGGCGCTTCTTAAGAAATGGCGTGCGAATGACCTCAGAGGTCGACTTTATGTTTAGAGGTTGACTTTATGTTGACTTTATGTTAGCTAGGTGAGTTCGTTCTGTGACCCGTTGAGAGGATGTAGATTTCAGCTCAATAGGCCTCTAGCGCTTAACGTTTTAGCTTTCTGAGCCGGAAATGAAAGCTTCCAGGACAGTGCACGAAAGTTCCTCGTGTCTCTAAACGCTACGTGACGGGTCACTGAGTGGTGCGCTGAACCATTGGCACCAACCGCTTTCTGAGTTCTTCATCCCAGCCTTACCAAACAACGTGTCCGTTTTGGCGTTCGAATCCAGAGGATCATCGGCCTACCACATTGCGCAGTGTTGCTGGCGACGGTGGCGTTACAGTGACGGATTGAGACGAAATTTGTTACTCCCCCTGGGATTGCCACTGGACAGACAAGCGACTTCACCCATAGAAAATATATGCAAAACCAGCTGGACGTAGGTGTGTAATCGCTGCCGCACGTCACCTTCCTTACCCGGGGATAAGGGTTAGGGTTGAATAATGACGTTCTATAACCCTCAAGTCCACCGGTTAACGCCCAAGGCTGCCCGTGCCCAACACAGCCCCTCCGACATGTCTCCTCATGGCGCTGCTGTTATGTGCGAACTCAACTGACTCACTTGACTCCCCGCCTCACTTGACTCCCTCCCCCACTCACTTGACCCCCGCCACAACTCGCGTGACTCCCCGCCTCACTTGACTCCCTCCCCCACTCACTTGACCCCCCGCAACAACTTACGTGACTCCCCGACTCACTTGACTGGCATGTCGCTCTCGCTGAGATTGAGCACGTAGTCCCACTGCCAGTCGGTCTGCATCAGCTCCGTCATGCAGTGCAGCAGCATGTCCAGCAGGCTGGCGCCGCCCCAGATGGTGGCGCGGCGCCAGCGCGACAGGCGCACGTTCGGAAACTGCGACTCGAGCGCCAGCAGCGTCCGATACATGTAGTCCTGGCGCTGCAACGCAGGCACGACGAATGTCTGGTGTTGGGCTGCCAAGTACGTGGGTTTCATGGCGGAGTTGCGGTGGAAACGCGAGGGTGAGTGTTGCGGATCACGACGGTAAGTGCTACGGATCGCGACGGAAAGTGTTGCGGATCAAGACGGAAGTGTTGTGGATCGCGGTGAAAAAATGTTGCGGATAGCGACGATAAGTGTTGTGGATCACGACGGCAAGTGTTGCGGATCACGACGGTAAGTGTTGCGGATCACGACGGTAAGTGTTGTGGATCGCGGTGAAAAATGTTGCGGATCGCGACGGTAAGTGTTGTGGATCACGACGGTAAGTGCTATGGATCACGATGGCAAGGGTTGTGGATCGTGACGGTAGGTGTTGTGGACCGCGGTGAAAAATGTTGCAGGTCGTGACGGTCGGTGTTGCGGGTCGCGATGGTAGGTGTTACGGATAACGACAAAGATGGGCTGCGTAATTTTGGCACTAAACGCCTTGCAGTGACAGAGCCGAACACAAGAACAGTGATGCTGAGCTATCAATATTAAGGGAGCAAATGGTGTTCTCCTTGCAACATTGCAGTCTTGTGTCAGGTTAGAGTAACGAGTAGTGCAGCGTTAGCGAGGTGACTCCACGCCATGACGCAATGCATGTTAAGAGGGATCATATAGTCATTTCCCTACAGTTTGTTATATAATCTTTTACCATTAGTTATAAAGTTGTGATTATCTATGTGTATATCAGGGATTATGTTATTGTATTATTTCATACCTTAAGTTATCATCTTAATATTCGTTTTTTTCCTAACTTGATCCGAGCCCTTTGAATGGATGGATTTCTAGGATCGACGCTCACACTAAGCAGTGCTTGTGTGAGCCCTGACCCCTACCACCCGATCGCGCAATTCCACGTCAACGGCAGAATTTAGTGGCGAAAGCTTAACGTGCCGCAATGCTCGGCACGGTCCGTCCTGCCATCTAAAGTCAACTGATCTTTTTAGCGCGACCGCTACCACCGGCCGCAGGCCATGCCTGTCAAGGGCAAACAGCGAGCGCCCTAAAGCGACTCGAACCCACCCCGCCAAGGGTGGGTGGATCGGAACACAGGCGCTCTAACCAACTGAGCTAATGAGACGGGCGAATTAATATGATCTATTTATTTTGAATTTTATCATTATTGAACATTTCATCATTGAATAATTATTATTGAATAATTTGTATTTAGTATTTGTCAACTTTCCCTCTTAAAATAGCCAATATATAATTTCATGTCATACACTGTTAGTTCTATATTTGTCATATACATATATACATACATAAATATACGAAAATAGCAGATTTACGTTACGTAAATTTTTACTCGCAGCTCACTACGAGTATCGCTTATCTACCACCGTAACTATGCAAATTCAGCCTACAAAATCGACGGGAAGGTATCGAAAATTTGAGTGTCAAAGCACGCAACAGAAGAAGTTGGGAATATGCTTAGATAGCGATATTTCACAAAAATATCAAAACTCGAGATCTCCACGGAAAGCAGCCCAACCAGGACATGCATGTTGAAGTGCGCCAATGAGGTATGAACATTTCCTTGCCCCCACGAAGTTTGCGGCTTCGTCCCGCATCCTACACTGGTGTAACATTATTTTTGTCCCGACGCCTCACATTGCATCTCACGGAAGAAGCACACGAGATCGCATGCCACATACAACGCCACCATAGTACTCGTCTCACGCAATAATTGCTCTACCAAAACACCGCAATTTTTTTCTCAAATTTTTAGCACCTGCACACAACACAAGGAAACTCCACATTCCGGCAGATTTACTCACTCATAGCCATACACCAATGCTACAGAAATTAAAGGTTCTGAAAAACCGCTTTGGAGCAACATCGCCAATATATCCCACAGACATGAAACATAACATGACAAAACCACGTGAGGATTAGGTCATCAGCATGCAGTCTTGTGATTTGTTATGTCAATTGTGTAGGTCACAGTGTGTGATGTTAATGAAGCCTTCTGCACGGCGGAAATGATTTGTTTTTGCCGGCCAAAACGCTGGTGAGTGTAATCCCATGAGAAGTCCATTGCTGTTTGCATGCTCGTGTTTTATGTTCTGATTTTTCAGGTGGCAGTTGCCAACATGAGATGAAGAGCTATATGTTGTTTTGACAACAAGTAGCGGATGCAACCGAAACGTTAAACCAAAGATATATGGGAAGATAATACGTGGCCCTTTGTGAGCTACTTTTTAATCCAGCAGACGATGTCAAACGTGAGGTTCGAAAAACAAAAATCAACCGGAAATTATGTATACACATGAATGTATATATAAACTCCAGTAAATATAGTATACAGTTACTTATATATCAGGCGTGTACTTAAGTATCATCTTTTAGTTACGCCATGTAAATGACAGCACACTTGTGAAAGATCTTTTTCACTTCAAGTCGTATGCTGTCATTTACGACAACTTTTTCAAATATATTTATGTACATGTTTTGTCAGTACATTTCACGTGCATGTTCCATAACCCTTCATAGGTTGACAGACCACAGCCCCCATAGTCCGCACCGATAACGCTAGCAAGAATTGATGCAGCACACTCTGCAGCTCACCGAGTCGACATGGATGAAGTAGAAGTGGCTGGTGTGGTAGATCATCTTGAGCAGCCTCAGCGCCTGCCGCGTGTCCCGTCCGTTCAGCGTCATCAGGTACACGATCCGGACCGGCTCGCTGTCCGTGTCCGCCACCGAAGAGAACGCGTGCTTGAACACTGCGACCGGAGGCGGAGGGTCACGGCGGGGCATCGCGGGTCATGCTGGGGTCACAGAGGTCACGGAAATGGCGGGGATTGTCAAGGGGTCGAGACGTTGGGGAAGTCGTCGCGGGGCATCGCAGATTACCGACGAGGGGATCTAGCAGAAACGTGTTACGGGGGTCACCGCTAAGTCAAGACATGGAAACCCCTGAGTGGATACCCAGCTGTCACCAAATTCAAACGGTAGCACAGTGATCATTAACAGTCAAGGGCAGGCAGCCATTCAGAGGAACTGGCAGTGACGTGCTTCAAACCCATCACGAGCAGCCGATGACGCTGAACACTGTTTACGAAAGTCCGGCGCAACGCACGGTCTGCTCACGGTCGCAACGGCCTCAGCACGTGACGGATGCGCCCAAATGTGACCTGCAGACGATACTGCAAAGTTGTGAGCTTCAAACGGTCTTCTAGTGACCGTCCAAGTGCGTGGTGGCGAGGCAACCGGCAGGGAAGGACACCGTGGCGAGACAACCGGCAGGAAAGGACACCGTGGCGAGACAACCGGCAGGGAAGGACACCGTGGCGAGACGACCGGCAGGGAAGGACACCGTGGCGAGACAACCGGCGGGGAAGGACACCGTGGCGAGGCAACCGGCAGGAAAGGACACCGTGGCGAGACAACCGGCGGGGAAGGACACCGTGGCGAGACGACCGGCAGGGAAGGACACCGTGGCGAGACAATCGGCGGGAAAAGGCGCCGTGGCGAGACAACCGGCAGGGAAGGACACCGTGGCAAAACAGCCGGCGGGGAGAGGCGCCGTGGCAAAACAACCGGCGGGGAGAGGCGCCGTGGCCAGACAACCGGCGGGGAGAGGCGCCGTGGCAAAACAATCGGCGGGGAGAGGCGCCGTGGCAAAACAATCGGCGGGGAGAGGCGCCGTGGCAAAACAATCGGCGGGGAGAGGCACCGTGGCAAAACAATCGGCGGGGAGAGGCACCGTGGCAAAACAACCGGCGGGGAGAGGCGCCGTGGCAAAACAACCGGCGGGGAGAGGCGCCGTGGCCAGACAACCGGCGGGGAGAGGCGCCGTGGCAAGCTAACCGGCGGGGAAAGGCACCGTGGCAAGCCAGCCGGCGGCGAAGGGCGCCACTTATTTGCATAGCGATCAGCCCCGGCACATGCCACCGCGCCGTCGGTGATTATCACCATGGCGCAGCGGCGCGCGGACGCGGGCCGCCATCGACAGGCTATTGACCGCCAGCTGAGAACCAACAGCCCTCGGCGAGGTGGCAACCAGCCGCGGAGTGGCCGGAGCGCCCGCACGCAGCTGGTGACGGCCGACCGGTCTGGTCAGCGGCCGCGGCCACCCGTCCGGCGGCCAGCCCTGACACGGCCGCCGCCAGGGTGCCGTCAGCGAATCAGGCAGTGTTGCAGACGTGAGTCCGTCAGTCCTCGGACACAGGTCCGGCACTTGGCCTGCTACGCCAGTGTCATCCCACGAGTTCGCTCCGGAGGAAAGCCGAGATCCCGTTTCTGCTTTCTACAGTCGCTTGTTTGAGCTATTCCGACCGCCGCTGGTCCGCAATGTCATGTTGTAGATGAACATAAAACGTGCACGCCATAACATGGCACATATGTTTCCTTTATTATGCCTCGTAGGCTCCAATAAAGCCATGCTTGGCCATGGCGTCAAATCCAGCGGCGCGCTCAATGCCTCACATGATGCATGTTTTATGGGGTAACGAGCAACACCAGTCCATGAACCACTTCCTTTATGTGATGTTTACCATGTGTAGTCACTGGCCATTGACAAGGGCGTGTCTAGGACGACATCAAATTGACCTCGCGCGCTTGTGGCATACCATGGGACGAATCGGCAAGATGCCACCCCACGAAAACATTCCATGAACGCGAAGTGCTGTTGGCACTGTATCATGAAACTCATTTGACGTGGTTTGGAATAAACTTGGATTTAAGACGGTATGCTACAGTCTCGCAATGCGAGCTGTGGCATACCGGCAAAAAAGTCTGCCAAACCGCGGCAAGATGTTCCGGTGCCAATGTCGTTGCAAACGGTGAATTTGTGAGGTCACCAGGACAAAAGGATGACCCGGCATTTTAAACAAGTAATGATGACCTCACGAAATATACACGTCCACAGTGGCGGGAAGCGAGGGACCACCCCACGGTGGTCAGCGGCGGCCACACGGGCGGGACCAGCCCACAGTGGTCGGCGGCGGCCACACGGGCGGGACCAGCCCACAGTGGTCAGCAGCAGCCACACGGGCGGGACCACTCCACAGTGGTCAGCAGCAGCCACACGGGCGGGACCACCCCACGGTGGTCAGCGGCGGCCACACGGGCGGGACCAGCCCACAGTGGTCGGCGGCGGCCACACGGGCGGGACCAGCCCACAGTGGTCAGCAGCAGCCACACGGGCGGGACCAGCCCACAGTGGTCAGCGGCGGCCACACGGGCGGGACCAGCCCACAGTGGTCAGCGGCGGCCACAAGGGCGGGACCAGCCCACAGTGGTCAGCAGCAGCCACACGGGCGGGACCAGCCCACCATGGTCAGCGGCGGCCACATGGGCGGGACCAGCCCACCGTGGTCAGCGGCAGCCACATGGGCGGGACCAGCCCACAGTGGTCAGCGGCGGCCACATGGGCGGGACCAGCCCACAGTGGTCAGCGGCGGCCACACGGGCGGGACCAGCCCACCGTGGTCAGCGGCGGCCACATGGGCGGGACCAGCCCACCGTGGTCAGCGGCGGCCACATGGGCGGGACCAGCCCACAGTGGTCAGCGGCGGCCACACGGGCGGGACCAGCCCACCGTGGTCAGCGGCGGCCACACGGGCGGGACCAGCCCACCGTGGTCAGCGGCGGCCACATGGGCGGGACCAGCCCACAGTGGTCAGCGGCGGCCACACCGGAAAGCGCTCGGCACGAGGCGGCCTCCCACGTCTCGGTACGCGCTGGCGCGGCATCGGCCGGGCTGACTCAGCTCGATCCTTCCGATCACCTCAGCCCGGCTGAATCATCCGCCGACAGCTCCGACAGCAGGCGGTCATGCGGAAGGGAGCAGCGGAGTGCCGGCGGTGACACGGGCCACCGAGAGGGCGGGGGGGGGGGGGGGATACTAGTGACGCGTCATGTAGTGCAACGGCTGAGAAACTATCAGCGATGTATGATGTCTCTCCCATCGAAGGATCCCGACGGTGCACGGGAGATTCTGCTCTGGCATGCCCATGCCAACGCAAAGGAACTTTCGGATGGATATTCCACCCAACGACAATGAGGCGCATCCCAGCCAATGACAATGAGGTGGTACGCCTGTAACGGCGTTCTACATGCCACATCCCGAAATTTGCCGAGGGAATAATTTCTTGTCGCACAAGAGCGTCATACCAAAACCAAAGTAGGGCCATGCTCCCAAGTTATTTCACGCATACCAGAGCTGCCCTCCAAATCATCGTCATTGGCCAGCATTCAAGTTATTAACGAAGGACATGCATTGTATTCTGGCCAGCTGGTCCGGCTGACCCAGCCTATGCCTGCAACATCGCAGCCGCCTTCGGGGCACCGTTCAAGCTGCCCCCCCCCCCCCCCATCCACCTCCGTCATCCAGTGACTAGCCAGTCCTGACTCAGCTGCGGCCCCCCAACCGGGGTTCCCAAACTCGGCCGGTCAGTTTGCAGGATACGTCAACGGACGTGCGCTACCAAACACGTTATCACCCCCGCACCTGCTGCCGACCTATCAGGATTGAGGCAGGAGCGGCACGCCGCGCGCCGTCACACTGAACATTGACCCCGGTGATTCGGAAACCGCTGGACTGACGCGGCGACGGCACGTGACTGGCTGCTCTTAGCAAAGACAGGGGTCACGCGGGCCTGATGACTGAGCATCCCCTGGTGTCAAGAATTTATCAGCACTTCCCTGTCCCTTCGCTAGAGATGTCTGAGGGCATTGGACTGACTCTCTTGTTCTCCCATCGGTCAAATTCCAAACTGCTCCGCCAAGCCAGTCGCCTGTCAGATGGATCCATCAAGTCCGTGCATAGACGATTCCTTGTAATACCGCTGTCTTGTTACCCCTTCATTCCTTCCATAGGCTTGGCAGTGCCGTCCGGCTCGCCCGTCCATTACCGTCGGCATCACTGCATGGATTGCGTGCATTTTTGCACGACCTCTTATAAATCACGCTAATAAGCATTCCAACGGGGGCAAAGCAACTTTTCCTCGGAAAGCTAAGTAGCTTACTTTCACTATCACCTCACAGTGAACCAGCCAAATATGCAGCATTTCTCCAAATCCAGATAAATGGATGCATTCTGGCGGATTTTTCCGACTGCGCATCCCTACTGCCCCTGATGTTAACTTGTGTTTAATCATCTAAAAAATTTGGCGACACCACTACATACACCAAACGGTGGAATCCGCCCGAGATGCCCCCCGCCCCTGCCAAAAGGCACCCAACACTGACCAGCGCGTCCAGTCTCGTAGACGTTCATCGCGAGGTAGCCGCCGCAGGACTCGTTACCGTGGCGACAGGTCATGTTGCAGGTCTGCAGCGGCTCCAGCGCCCGACTCGGCGGCTGCATGTTGCCGCACCAGCACTCCCGCCTGGAAAGACCGCAAGGTCAGAGGGAGATGTCACGGTCAAGGCGAAAAGTCACGCTCAGGGGGACCGTCACGCTCAGGGGCGAACGTCACGCTCAGGGGGACCGTCACGCCCAGGGGCGAACGTCACGCTCAGGGGGACCGTCACGCTCAGGGGCGAACGTCACGCTCAGGGGGACCGTCACGCTCAGGGGCGAGCGTCACGCTCAGGGGGACCGTCACGGTCAAGGGGACCGTCACGCTCAGGGGCGAACGTCACGCTCAGGGAATCATCACGCTCAGGGGGACCGTCACGCTCAGGGGAACCGTCACGCTCAGGGGCGAACGTCACGCTCAGAGGGACCGTCACGGTTTGATTTGGCGCGGGCGGACCCACTGAGACGATGATTCAGAGAATGGAGACCCACAGAAACTGTGCTGCAGCAGAGGGAGATGAGGCGAGGCAGCGCTCCTGTTGCTGCTCGCCGGGGCTTAGGGGCGTGCCAACTGCTGAGGTCAGGACATCAGCGCTCAGGCGGAAAAAAGAAAAGCGCACGTCGAGGCGGAAAGTGATACGCGCAGGCATTCACACAAAAGGCGCAATACGTGGTAGGAAACGACGCCAACGTGGGACGACATTGACGCAGATGGCGCTCATACATCAAGACAATGGACACGAGCGAAGACCAGCGTCAGGAAAGAGGGGAATGGACGGAACTGCTGCTCGGGAGTATGCACAGCCAAATGTGCTGGGACATGGGTCGATGCAGGGTTACTTTGAAAAGCAGATGTGACAGAGGGACAAAAGGGTTCAAACACATTCGCCGCGGACATCACGATGAATCACCACCATCTTCGCCATCGTCATCATCTTTGTCATCATCATCTTCACCATAATGTTTGTTATGAAGAAAATTTTCTTCAGCAGCTGGCGTGCAAATCCAATAGGAGAGATGAAGTTTTGGATCTTATTATGACTTATGAGGAAGGGTTGGTAGATGTTAAATGGCAGGTGAGGCACTGGGAAGTTGTGACCATAATATTGTAATGCTTGCATTGCGTCTGGGTTATTTAGTTACGGCTAATCAAACTCTTATGTCAAACTTTGTCACGGGGAAATTTAAAGACCTTACAGCCTTACGGCTTGCTAGCTTCTAACTGGAAGATTTCTAACTTGACTCACTGGACATGAAATATTGAAAGTGTTCAAGGATATTTTACAAGGACAGGTAAGGTTCATTCCGTTGAGGAAAACGCGAGGAAATAGCTCAAAAAGCCGTCATGGCTAACATAGACAGTGCGCCATTTGATGACGGCGAAGAAGGCGGCATATGATAAGCAAAAAGTGCAGGGTACAGAGAGCAACAAGGCAGTGCGTAGGATTGCTATAAAAAGCAAACTGTAGAAGGAAATCGGGATAGCCAAAATATTACCAGAAACACAGACATCAGACTCGTTCGGGCGATATTAAGAAATTTTTAGCTACTACAAAGTCATGCATAAGGGATCCCCGCTGGCCCCTTGGGGAAGATGGAAAGTAAGTAGTGGAGGAAAGAGATATTGCAGATGCTCTTAGCAGGCAGTTGTCTTCAATTTTCACAACGGAGACTGTGTATGATCCCCACGGTGATGGACAAAATCCGGGAGTAAGCAATCCTGCAGATATGATGGGGACCGGGGGTATGGGAAGGGATAGCTTGAAGGAAATCAAGGCTAATAAGGCGGCCGGACCTGATCAGATATTTGGCAGGGTGCTAAATGAATACGCTAGTGCTTTAGCTCACGCCCTTATGTTAATATTTCACAGATCATTGAGTTTTTCAGAAGCACCCGAGAGCTGGTGCAATGCCAATGTAGTACCGGTATATAAGAGGACCGAAAAAGTGTCGGCAACTAAAGGCCTGTCGATCCCACCTCACTGATGTGTAATATCTCACACAAATTCATCTAGGCTAGCATCCAGTCATATTTAGATAGGCGTCGCCTAATAATTTGTAGTCGGCATGGTTTTCTTTCTGGTGGGTATTTCGTATTTGGTATTTGGGCTGACCAACCTTCTGGAGTTCATGAAGCATGTTACTAGTTGAGAAGACGAAGGCGATAGTTTAGATGTTGTTTATCTAGATTTTAGTAAGGCGTTTGATAACGTGCCGCACCAGCGTCTCTTACATCCGTTAAAAATGCGTGGCACTGAGGGCGAAAGTATGGGCTGGGTGAGAACTTGGCCGTAATACAGGAGCAACGAGAGGTGCTCAGTGGTACTAAAGTGGGAGCTAGTAGAGAGTGGGGTTCCGCAGGGTTGGTGTTGGGCCCTTTGCTTCAAGTTATTTTGTGAAAAATAGTGAGATATGATTACGAAAAAGTTGCTTAAATCTGCTGACGACACTAAGCTGATAGGGTGTAGAAAATGCAAGCCGGGTGAACGTTGACTTAAAGAGACTAGTGAACTGGACTCATCTGTGCCAGATGTCATTTAATTATGATAAGTGTAATGTGATGTATTTGTCTACTTCCGGCTGTGACGACATTAGCTGTAAAGTGGGAGGCCGGGAGTTGAACCAGTTTGAAGAAGAAAAGGACAAAGGGGTTTCAATTCCCAGGGATATAAAGGTTGAAAAACGATGTAAGACTGCTAGGAACAAGGCACTTCGGATGCTGGGACCCTTTACCCGGAATGTCCATTACAGGAGTAGGAATGTTGTCAGCAAGTTGTGAGTAGCTTATGTCAGATCATACCTAGAGTATTGTGCACAGGCTTAGTCCTCACGCTCCCAAAAAGATATAGACTGGCTGGAGAGTGTACAGCGAAAAACAGCTGAGATGATAGCTGGGATTGACAGCTTAGAATATAAGGAAAAGCTTATATATAGAATACTGAACCTTATATTATAATATTGAAATATCGTAGTCTTCAACGGGATCTGATAGGGGTGTTCAAGATTATGGATCAAGATAGGGATACACCAGGTAGACCTACAAGGAAATTAGGCCGAGGTTTCAAAGAAACTTTCCATTAGCAAAAAGGTACGAGTAGAACTATGAAGAGGCAGATGCTATTTAGTCAAAGTGCAGTGAACTGTTGGAAAGGACTGTCAAACGAAGCTGTGGTAAGTCCCTCTCTAGCAACATTTAAAATTGTTTGGACAAGTTCTATCGGTATATGGATCTCACTTACAGCTAACTTCAGGCAGGTCAGACGGTAAGATTAGTGTTGAGGGTACGCGCGGAACGTGAGGTAGACCAACGTCGATGGGCCCTTGCGGCTTTTTGCTGGCCTGATAGTTTTATGTCCTTACAACTTTATCATCATCGTGTTGTTGTCATTAAAGTGTTGTTATATTGCGTGGCGCGAACTCAGACCCGAGTCCATACTTAGGCATCAGGACGCACGCGGCGTTACGACGGGAAGATTAGGAGTTTTGTTCTGCCGAGAAGGACCCGGGGGGAGATGCTGGTGGCGCTCAGGCCGGGGGACACACAGACATGTGGTAAGACAAACGTGGAAAATGGGGACAGTTAACGACCGTCTCCGTTTTCACCGTCGTTAACTGCCTCCGAACACGGAGATAGTTAACGACCGCTGAAACATCCGCAATACGAATGCCACGAACTATAATTGAAACGTGCTTACTGCTGCAGTGCCTCAGCTCGTGAAGATGCGATTCTTTACCGTAAAATGCAAGAGGCGAAACAGGAACCCAAGGGACTATGGACTAACGACAATGAGCGATGTCACGCAAAGCCATAAAATGACATCCTTTTGTCACGCTAATGTCTGTCATTGAAACGTACGTGCACTATCCCCGTCCCTCCACACACACGCATACAACACATCATTACCTCCGTCCCCGGCTTCCGCTCTGGCGAGCTCGCACGTATCAAACCCGCACCAGCCAAAGGGAGCACGATCCCGGTATTGGCGCATGGTAGGTGGTGGTGGTGGTGGGTCTATGTCGGAGCCTCTGTGCAGTTAATTCAGTGATCGTGGCATTGGCCGAACACAAGGTCAAAAGTTCCGCTGTGCTGTCACTGCTGTGCTGTCACTGCTGTACTGTGCCGTCATTTGTCTCTGAGTGGCCAGGATTCCCCCAACATACCGTCAGATGGGATGGTGACAGCTTACAAAAACCTCAGGTATGCACACTAAGTAGTTACACGCAGAACGCCAATGACCTCCAAATACCGGCACCCGAGCGTATCGACCCCCCCCCCCCCCCCTCTCCGTCTACCACCCAAACGCAGGTGACCCGCCCACATGCCTCATCCATATGCATGATCCCCAGGTTAACGCGCTGAAAACCACAACCTTGACTGCCCGTGTGAAGTTCCTGGGCTTAGTCCACTGTAGTCACCCTAGATGTGTGTCATAGGTTCCACACTTGATGCGTTTCCCGTGGGAGTTCGCGCACACGACAATTCATGCGCATGAAACACACATCAGCAGCCTTGAAAATGGTGCACACTTGCGAGCGGCACGTTAGTGCCATATCATGCTCACAGAAACTTCATGTTCGGGTATTTCCGTGGCAGCTGACTTGGAATGAAATATGCGTAACATAACGGTGAATGTCCAATAACATGAAACACTTAGCTGGAAATCGACAGCGATTAGTCAAAGCCATGTAACAACACGCAACCCATAAAACAATTATGACGAATCGTTTATGACGAACATGACGAATAATTATGACGTTATATGACGTTATATATGACGTTATAATTATGGCGAATTCGTAAATGGCCCTTCTGTTTACCTTCCGTGCAATATGTGCTCTTTTCCTATAATTTCCGCTTCCTTGTCGTGCTTAGTCCTTTACGTCATTTGCTTGTTCATCCGTTCGCTTTTTTATAAAAGCAACGTTCCAGGCGAGACATCGAGCTACGTTTAAAAGACAACTTGGAAATGTCCTGTTCCGTGCCTTTTCAAATCGCTCTGATGGTATGTGCTGCGCCACAAAGCCCAGCGAAACAACCAATCATACGAACAATATTGCCATTATTCGGCAGTACGCCCATCACGAAAAAGTCGATAACCAAAGCATGGCGATGCCCCCTGGACGCAGCGCGTGCCCGCCCGCCCCCCCCCCTTCCCTCCCGGCCCCCCCCCTTCCCTCCCGGAGTTGAGGGACCAGACAGACATGCTGCCCACGGGTCCGACGGTGGGACGGCACTTGGCGCCATCTCCCGGACGGCGCGGGAGGTGACATCAAAGCACCGCATGGAAGGATGAGACCAAAGTTGGCAGGAAACGTAAGGTGCGGCTTGACCTTCCCAAACGTCACCGAAGCAGAAATATGAGGCTATTGAATCCGGTGTCTCTACATCATGTCAGGTTCAAACTACATCGAACGGCAATGATGACCTGTAAACTTAATGTGCAAATGTGCGTCATGTCACGCAAATGCGCCACTCCCCCCAAAATTCAATGCCCACCTGTCTGATATATTTAGCTGTCAAAAGAATGATGCATTTGCAATCCTCATCCCGGTTTCAAATGTCCTATAGGCGCATTCAAAAGCGATGTGCACAACGCTCCAATCAACCATTCCATCGTCAAGAGTGGCAGAGGTGATGACGTCACGCAAAGGATGTCGGATTCGCGTAAATTGTCTGGGACCAAGGTAACTGCAGGCCCTTATTCTACACACACTCCTACCAAAAGCTGAATAAAGCTAAACATTTTGATCGAAGCGTTGTGTACTAGGTTTTCAATACGCCCTTTCCTTTCCAACTTGGAATAACCACAACGGATGAAATGGCAAAAAGTATGTTTTAAAAAATCACACGTGTGTTACCCTATCGTGGCAAAATTTTTCAAGAAACTTGGTGCCGCAAAGTCCGAAGCAAAAAATGTTTTCAGACGGTGTACACGGGCCTCTGTCACTGCAGTGGCCATAGGGCCGCTCACTCCACTGACGTCATCCACTCTCGTCCAATCAGACGGCAACTGCGCTCCTCGCGGTGCAGCTCTCAAACTACGCAGCAAAGCTACAAGAACCTGCTTTTTAAACCACATTGTATACAAAGACATCCACGACTTACAACCACGTGGTTAAATGGAGTAAGTTTGAGGTAGGGGCCTTGACTTGTAAATCACCCGCGGTTCAGGCACGTCTGTAAAGCTCAGTGTCCTTCGTGGTATGCCTAAACGACGCAACTTTGGACCGCATGTGGCTTCAGTTTTGCGTTATGGAGCTGTGTCCAACCTACTCTGATGCCAAACCAGACGGAAAGAGAAAGCAAGTTATTTCGACCCGCCCTAGTCACATTCCTGTGTAGCACTTGATTTACGTACATGTTCGTTTGTTAGTGCCTGACTTGCAACCTGCGCTATTGTGTACACTGAATCAAAGCACGCTTGGAGCAAAGGACGGGGGCTACTGTAGTGTGTACCGAACGGCACAAAACATGCTACAAAACCCCTACACGCCCGGTACGGTTACGCAGCTACATGAAACTCACCTGTGAGTAAGTACTCCGGCACCCCGTCGAAGCGTTCGTAAACTAATCCAAATGAAGAGCGACACAGAGCATCACCAGGATACCTGCCAACCAGCCAGCAGAAAGCGGCACCCTCTTGGCAGTCAGCGTCGCAAGGGGACAGGGGTCCCAGCAGCACGCTGACCAAAGACTATCTCGCAGCCCACGCGCGGCTCCTCGGGGGCCAGCCGCCCGGCGCCCTGCTCTCTCACTCGTACTGCAGGCCGGCGTAGACGAGCAGTGTTCGAGGCAGCCCGCGCACGCGGCTCCTCGGGGGCCAGCCACCCGGCGCCCCGCTCTCTCACCCGTACTGCAGGCCGCCGTAGACGAAACTCTCCCTGACGCAGTGTTCGAGGCAGGCCTCGGTATTGTTGACCACCCCCGCCAGCGACGGTAGCAGGCGCAGCGTCCTGCTGTCCCGGAAGCATCCCAGCTGGCGACCGTACTCGTGTCCTGCGGCAGCGCCAGCCGCGGTCGTGAGCGCGCCGGGCTTCGGAGCTGAAGGTCCACGGTTCAAATCCGGAGAGATGATGCATGTTTTGTTTGAAAGAAGTCCAACGGATCTAAATTTGTCCAGGAAAGTGATGGTTAGTATGGCACCGGCTCAAAACGCTTAAATAAATCCGTTAATCATGAAAGCAAAAAAGCCACATTGGCCGAACGTACCTCAGCAATTTTATTGCTAATTGGGACGCCGCGAACAAAACAAGTTGCAAAAACGACATAATGTATCACCCAGAAAAAAAAACAGCAAAAAGAGCCTCACCACGCAGTAATTGCCTCACCCGAATCAACGGCCAGTCTGGTCAAAGAACGGTACACCCCAAAAACGCAGTCACTCAATCACTCTCAGCACACCATCTTTCCCCACACCGCACCCCTTCCCTCTCCCTCTCCCATTTCCGGGAGCTCCTCCATTGACCTAAGCTCAGCCACCGGCACCAATCCCTGCATCGGCCTGCTCGATCAGCCAGAGTCCACATCTTTCAGAGGATCAGTCCCAGACGTGCAATGGGCCGGGCGCGTCATCCGGGGAGGACGCTCTCCGGTCACCGTCTGATCCATGGCACGTGGCGTCATTGTGTGATCCGCCGACGCTGTAGATCAGCGTCCCATCCACGGCGAATGGGATCCCAGCACGTGAGAGCGCAGACTGGGACGCTGTTGGGACGCTGTGGTCCCTGACATGTGGGATCTACATCTGATCCCAGCACGTGGGATCACCACCTGATCCCGGGCACGTCGGGTCACCATCTGATCCCGGAAACGTGGGATCACCATCTGATCCCGGGCACGTGGGGTCACCATCTGATCCCGGCATGTGGGATCTACATCTGATCCCGGGCACGTGGGGTCACCATCTGATCTATCGGCACGTGGGATCACGGGCTGGCCTCAGCACGTAGTCCCGGTGCCTAATTCTCGGCTCACCGGATCATTACGTGCTCTAAGCGGCACCACCCAGTGTTGTTGGGAGTAGGCACACATTGCCTAGAGTAAAGACGCGGAGAGTAAAGGCCGGAAATTGGAGCCCGGGCCATTACCACGAGTTGTGAACTTGTATTTCCGACATTGCCAATTTAAGGTAAACAACACAGCTGTCATATAAAAGAGCAAAGAAATTGACACAATAGTTCGCCATATGAAACACGGAGCAGTTCGCACACCAGCCTGTCAAACAGAACAACAACACAGTTCCTCGATGAGCATCGCACAGCAAATCGCAGAAAGACGAATGCACAATCTTGCAGCGAAGGAGAGGAAAGACCACCTGCAAGGCTGGGCACAGTCCAACACGAGGCGATGTACGCACCAGCGCCGCCGCCCGACCCGCCGGCCGCGAACGCCTCGGGGCGAACCCCACAAAGCCGGCCGCGTCGCCCCGGGGCGAACCCCACAAAGCCGGCCGCGTCGCCTCGGGACGAACCCCACAAAGCCGGCCGCGTCGCCTTGGGGCGAACCCCACAAAGCCGGCCGCGTCGCCTCGGGGCGAACCCCACAAAGCCGGCCGCGTCGCCTCGGGACGAACCCCACAAAGCCGGCCGCGTCCCCTTGGGGCGAACCCCACAAAGCCGGCCGCGTCGCCTCGGGGCGAACCCCACAAAGCCGGCCGCGTCGCCTCGGGGCGAACCCCACAAAGCCGGCCGCGTCGCCTCTGCGCACGGCGGCGGCAGATAACCGCCGGGCCGGAGCGCGATGCCCTGTGATTTATGGCCGCGCCGCCACACGTCGTCTGCCAGCGCCGGCCATGATCGGAGACGGCTGATAGCGGCGGCCGCAACCTCGGCACCCGGCGCCGGCACAGACATTGCGAGGCCGTGCAGCGGCTCGGGCGACCACGAGCTGGTGGGTTCGGTGATTGGTACATCACGTGGCGAGACTGAAGGAAATCGACGTGTTACGTTACGCCGCGCCTTTTTGGGAAAACTGTGTGTTCGTATTGCTCAAAACTTATGCGTCAAAACGTTTAAGCTTAAGCAATGCACACGCTATCAAAGCATGACGTAACGCGCTGGGATAAAAAACGAGAAATAGCGTAGTTAAAAAAGAGGCTATAGCACACTCCCATGTCTTGTTGCTAGGCATTTCACCTACGATTCGGCCACAGCAAAGACGACCTGTATCGCTAGGCAACGAATGACAACAGCCCCTTAACAGTTCAGCATCGGCCTCGCGAATGTTCAAGTAAGTTGTTACGTGCGTTTACGCGAGAATTTGTACAAATAGATGGCAGTGCTGTTGAACTTATTTCTCGTTAAAAAAAACCGGGAGAAATGAGGGGAAGATGCAATAATAATTAGGCTACATGTCTGTGTCAAAACGATCAACGAAAATGAGGAGCAAATTCAAAATTGCTTTCCGACCCCAATCGACTTTTCAGGGTTTTTGGAACAGCGCCAGTTTTACAGGTCATCAACATTCAGGGCATTAAACAAGAAGCAATTGTCAGCTATTATTGCGATACAGTGTATGTCTAACAAACGGTTAAAGCTACATAAAAATGCGTGTGCACGCGAACGAATCCAAGCTAATATTATCACTATCATTGTGTACCTTGACGAAATCCAGCTAGTGGCTATTCCAACGCCGAGTCAGTGCATACTACATATATCAACACAGAACACGCAACACATGCAAATGAGATGCAACGCCAGCGATACACATACGGTGTTATATAAAACATGGCCGACTTGTGATACAATCAGCACCTGCACGTCATGGCCAGTTGGTCAATTTAGGTAAGTTCTCTGATGAAAGGCATTGCTTTGCCCTTGAACTCACTTCAGTTTTTGCACTGGCGCGTGGCGGCAAGGGACAATTCCACGCCGCTACGGCTCGATACGGAAGTGCCCTTTTCACGCGCTCTAAGCGAGCGTGTTTTACAGCGCTCGTCTGCAGTACAGATTCGTTATCAATGGTTCTGGTGTGCCGCCGAGATCCTTCAGATCGACGCCTGATCAGATTACTGAAAGTCCGTGGCCCATCAGGCACGTAAATGGCGCGATGCAAACATATGCAGTCGCGGTGGGTGACAGTCTCGTCTAAATTGGGCCAATTAGGCTGTTTTGGGATTCCGTGATGTGATCTCGTCTGAGTTTGCCGGCAACAAGCCTGACCGCGAAGTTAATAGTCTCATCCAGGCGCTGGCGCTGAACGGCTGTTGTCGGGGCCCAGGCCGGTAAACAATATCTGATGCGAGGGAAAACCGGTGACTCAACTAGGGACTTGGGGGGCTGGGCAGCACATGCCTGCGTTTGTTAATAGCTATGAGGGAGCCAAAACATCGCTGCGTAGTTTTGGCCGTTTGATGCTACCAGTTGAAATTTGCATCGATGAGCAACCACAGTATTTCGATGTACTCTGAAGGAGACAGCTGGGAGTTATCAAAATTCGCACTCGTCCCGGCGGCTTTGCGGGAGTTGGTGGGTGTGCCAGCAACAATGAATTCCGTTTTTGACGGGTTGATCTTCATGCCATTGTGACGAAACCATACTGAGACTGCGGTCAGATCGGACTCAACACACGAACGCAGTTGTGCGAAACTACATGCAGATGGTGATGATTCATGCATGAGCTGCATGTCGTCTGCGTATGACACCAGTTTACACGTAGTTGAAACATAACACTGGATGTCGTTGGTAAAGAAGATGAACGTCAGCGGTCCTACTATGCAATACAAGCAAATAGCCATAACGTATCTGGCACTAGGCATCACCTATACATGCGAATTATTTTCATCTATCTATCGTGCTGGATAAAGGCATGTGCCCGAAACATTACTGCATCATCTCTCCTTTCTCCTGGTTATCCGAGAGGAATAAGGCTAACAGTACTGTTTTGTCTGTAAGAATGCCCAGTCCAAAGGGGATCGGTGTTACCTAAAACACAAAACATAGTGGTCCAGATAGTATCCAGACATGTGCCTGAAGTCTCTCAAAAAGATCTCAGGATCCCACAAACGCGGAACCCAATGGGATCCTTCATTAACCCATGATCCAGGCACATGGCTGGAAGCATCAGTCTTTCAAGACAGCGACGGCGAGGGTCCAACACAGACTTAAGCCGAACTAAGGCGCAGGCGACGCAGAAACCGTGAAAACGCAGTCGCTGAGCCGTCCAGTCGCCGTCCAAACCGAACCGGGAGTACACGAGCGTGCGCTAACGCCCACCTCCTCCTCCTCCTCCCCCCGGTTCCTTCAGCGGCCAAGTCCTCCCCACCCCTCACAGCAACAAACCCACATCGAAACGTCATTGCGACCGCCGAACCACTCCGAACAAACAGCCGCAGAAGCCACACAGCGCCGGTGGCACGGAAGCGGCTCACACTCACACACACCGAGCCGCCCAGCCGCCGCCCAGCACTCTAGCTCCGCTGCAATATCGCTGGCGCCAGCAGACCACGCTGGGGCCAGCATCACCAGCTACAGTGCTAAGGATGCACGTTGCCGGTGGTTGTGATGCGAACAGCACGTAGTTAGCGTGATCTCAGTGCAATAGTCGCTGTGCATGTAACGATACATACTATGCCCTTACATGCTTGTGGCGCTCGCTTACACATTGTGCAGAATGTTAGACAACTGCTTTGCGGTCAAAGTCACGAACACCCGAATATGGCCGATCACACTCGAGGCACTCAGGCACACAAGGCAGCCGTCAGTCACACCGACGGACACTCATGGCGGCGTATACACAACAGGACAGGCATTCAGGGCGGTGGGTACTCAGAACGGCGGACACTCAGAACGGCGAGCGCTAAAAACGGCGGACACTGAGAGTGGCATTTAGCGCGACGGGCACTCAGAACAGTGAACACTCAGAGCGGCGGACACTTAGCGCGGCGGGCACTCAGAACAGTGAACACTCAGAGCGGCGGACACTTAGCGCGGCGGGCACTCAGAACAGTGAACACTCAGAGCGGCGGACACTTAGCGCGGCGGGCACTCAGAACAGTGAACACTCAGAGCGGCGGACACTTAGTGCGGCGGGCACTCAGAACAGTGAACACTCAGAGCGGCGGACACTTAGCGCGGCGGGCACTCAGAACGGCAGACACTCAAAGCGGCGGACACTCAAAGCGGTTATAACTCAGAGCGACAGAAACTCAGAACGGTGGACACTCAGAGCGGCACACTCAGAGCAGCGGGGGCTTAAGACAGCAACGAATCCTTAAAAAAAAAAAAATACTGGTAACGACACATACGCCGCATACGTCAACATGATGGTGGTAACCCCAAGTCTGCGATGCCACGCTCGTTGTCAAATGCAGGTTGAAACGTGACGGCCGGCCCGCTTCAATACCAGCGAATCAGAGGTGAAAAACGGCACTTTTGGACTCCATTTTAACTATTCCCAAAACGTCAATTCGTCACGCCCACATGACTAACGATATCCAGATTCCACATCACGGTGGCTGAAGCAGCAGAAGGGCCTTCGCACGTCTGTTCCCGCATGGCTCCGCCAATTCTTGTGACCGCGTTTGATGTCGAAGTCGTCGTCGTCCGTCGTCGTCCAAATGTCGAAGACCTAGGACAGCTTATGTGGATCCGCAGTTAACACCACTTCTCACATCCTGGGGAGCAGGGCCGAACCGGCCGAGCGTGCGTGTGCGCGTGTGTCATTAGGCTTTACGAGGCAGTAAGCTGCTGAGGCTATATGGCGTCGCCTGCCTCTCACCCTGGCAGGAAGGGCGGACACGGCGGGGAATCGAACCCCGTACCTCTGGTTTCCCAGACGCGCAACATAACCGCTGCCCTAGCGATAACCCGTTCCAATAACCGCTGCCCTACCGGTAACCCGTTCCAAAAACCGCTGCCCTACCGGTAACCCGTTCCAATCATTGAGATAAATCGGCGGCTCGGGCGACGGCTTCCATGATGTACCTTAATGCGAGAAAGACCGAGAATTACGGCTGGTGAGGAAACCACTTCGCCAATTCTGTGGAACAATGGGCGTTTTGCGTCCAACTGTAGCGACCGACAACGGGGGGCCCCCAGCGGACCGGGTTTAACGGCTCATCCAGGTAACTGACGGCAGCTTAAAGCAGGCTCCATGCGGAAAAGCGCCTCCATTAATTAATTAGGCAGCCGAGCCCAAAGTCGGCGGCCGCCGGCACCGAAACCGCCGAGCACCAAACAACTTCCAGCCGCTTTCCGCTTTAATCCCGTCCTCTCCCAGACCTTTTCTTCCGGCGGTTTCCAGCAAAAGCAAGCGTCTCGGGAGTTCCGGTTGAATTAATCCGCCCGACACACGCCGCCGGCCGACTGCAGGGGTGCCCGACCCGCCGCCGGCCGACTGCAGGGGTGTTCGGCCCGCCACCGGCCGCGGCCGGAGCGTCGATCACCCCCGCGCGCCTTACGGTCGCCGGGTAAAGCCGGGCACCGGCTCGTGACGAGGCGACCAAGCGCGGAGGCCGGGGGCGCTGGAGCGGCGGGGACCGCGCGGGCCTCCGCCGAGCGTCGGCTCGCCAGGCACCCGGTCCGGTGCGGCCGCCTGGCCGCCGCCGGCTTCGCCCGTGACGCTGCCCGCCCGACGGCAGCCGATAGCCGTGAAGCCATCGCTGCGGCCATCGCACACTATCGGGGGCGGCGGCGTCCGGGCGGAAAGGGGCGGGCTGTGGCTGCGAGCCAGACGAGCGGCCATCAGCCACGATAGCCGGCCCATCTATCGCATGCGACGGCGACAGACGTGCGTGCGGCTCGGTTCCGCGTGGGCAGCTGGCGGGATGCGGCGACGACGCGAGCGGACGACACCAGCCGGCGGCGACACCGGAAAATGGGGCGGCGGTGTGGTCGCCATAATCTACAGCGGAAGCAGAGGTCCGTGTTTCGGGAGGCGAAATAAAAAGGTGAATCCAATAAAAAAAAGACAACACGCGTGTATTTATTCCCATTGATCGGCACTGAAGACCGGAAGTTTATATCACCGGATGCTGATCGAACACCCGGTAATGCAGTACGATGGTATCCGTATTAATTCGCGGCGCATATCTCACCCTTATTCAAATCTTTCAGTGAACCATGCTGGCGTGGCAAACCAACCATCACCGACAAATATCAGCGGCAGTTTGTGCACGCGCCGCAGGCTCGCCGCCGCCGCCGTTGCGACAGTCGGCCGCAGCCGCAAGGAAGACGGACGACCGTCGTGGGACATCTCCACGGTCTCTACGCGACCATTATCGGTAGCGGACGGTCGCAGCCCCCCCCCCCCCCCCCCCCCCCCCCCCCCCCGCCGCCGGTGTGTATTACTTCCGATGTGGCCAGGCCAGCCCACTTGCATGAGGGGGGAGGGGCGCTCAGGGATAAGAGCATGCCAGTAACCGGCGCCGCTGTTCGGAGAGAGGACAGCACGTCGGTAGCCGGTGCCGGTCGGCGCAAAGGTCGGTGCAAGGAAGGTCGGTGCAAACCATAGCAGATCGGTCCAAGTACGGTATTGGGACATGGTCTTCTACGTAACTGGTTTACGGGCATAGGAAGTAACTCTCCAACCCTTTGTTCTACAATTTTACTGTAAAATGTAAATGTAATTTGCTGCTGCTGTAAACTTGTACTGTCCACGCCAGGACCCCCGCAAAAAATATCCGGCAGTTCGTCCATGATGGACCTGCCCGGCAGCTTGGCCACGTTCATCGCAGGGTCAGACGGACACTGGTCGCTGATTTAAGACTGCTGGCGTCGGATGGCCTCGACGGTGGGGGTGGCTTGTCACGAAGAGCGCACGTGGGATGCCTGCCGTTCTGTACGAGGGGGGGGGGGGGAACAATACGCGGTCACTGATTCAGGGCTTCACAATGCCACCTCGCGAATGAGGGCAACATCAAAGTTCGCAATGGAGGATCAAGAGCCCGCCGGCTCTTGTCCTGTTGTACTTCGCGTACTTCATGTCTTGTTGCTGTCTGGGATGAATTGTTGGACGGTCCCACTTCCGATGTTATTGCACCACACGACGAAATGCGGGGTCTCAGGGAGTTCAGTTTTAGGACCTGGTATTGTCGGGCGCAAATATTCGGCATATTTTGATGGAGTCCGAGGTCTGTACGCACCAAACACTGACCGATAACCCGTAAAAGCCCATGCACGTTAAAATGGTTGCATGTTCTTGAGCTCAGCCGCAGAACTAGCCTCCAAATCGATCATATTTTAAAAAAAACTGGGCGATGTGAGACAACGGCCAAGGCAACAGACTAAGGCAACGATCACGAGTTGGTATCGTTGATTGGTGATATCTAATATTTGCTGGGGTCCAACTCTGACAGAAGCCGTCCATCTGTGTAGACGAAGCCATTCAGCCATTACAGGCAATCAATCTGTAATCAAACCGTATCTTTTCTGAACTTGACGTGAACAGTCGGCCAAGTGTCATAAGCATCCATGTTACTGTAATAAGTCCCAGCTATGCGGAAGGCAACACGTGCTCAATTTGGCTCACACTTAGTTGGCATGGCTGTCCGCTAACTCTGTTCCGTAGATAATACTCAACAATCTTCCGTCAATATTACCCAAAGCGGATCGATGCCCAAACAGCTTCTGACGTGCAGGAAATGGGAAGCATACCGTTTCGCGAGCGTCCTATTATCTCTTCACCCAATGTCTGGACGTCTCTCTCCCCCGTCATCCGTCACAAACGTCCCCCTTCTCTCCCTCTTCCCGATGTAAAGACGACTTCCTCTCTCCCTCCCGAACACATCCAACGTCTTCCTCACTCCCTCCCCAGCGTATGAACATCTTCGCTCGCCCTCCCAAACATGAGAGTCTTGTTCTCTCCCCACAGGACTCATCAAGCTCGCGACCTGGACCCATCAAGGTTCCCGCCCTCCCCAACGCGCCGACGCCGTCTCCGTCTCCGTCTCCGTCTCCGTCTCCGTCTCCGTCTCCGTCTCCGCACCTTCCCGCCGCCCGTCGCCGTTCCCCGTCACTCACCATGGTGCGGGCAGTAGTTGGGCAGCCGGACCGGGTAGGCAGTGCCCTCGCGCAGCCGGCACGCGAACTCCACCAGCTCGCGCCGGCACGGCTCGCTCTCGGCGCGCAGCACGGCCGAGACCACCTCGCGCGTCTCGAGCGCGCAGCGCGGCTCGAAGCCCAGCAGCGCCGCGTCCAGCCGGCTCACGTTGGCGAACCGTTCGCGCTGCTTGAGCGGCGTCAGCTGGTTGTGCTGCGCCTTCTCCAGCTGGGCGAGCAGGGCGGCGCCGGCGCCACTCTCCGGCTCCGGCGAGGAGGCCAGGCTCCGCCGCGCCACCCGCGCCGCCTCCTGCCGGCAGGGCACAGGGTGAGTGGGCATTGCCGGGAGCGCGCGTCGATGAGCGGCGACCGGGCACTCATCTCTCTTGATTCGGCCTTGACCTGAATTCGATCCGGATGGCTCCTGCTTGATCAGGTTGTGAACCACGGCAACGGCAAACTGTCGGGCTGTTCGTCAACGCGCGCCGCCGCTTTCTGGTGGCGTCGTTAGCGGCGCAATCATTACGCACTGGGTTGTTTGTCAATTCACGCGAATAATGAGATCGTTACTGTTGCCGGCATCGCCGCCTCCGCGTGGAAAGCGGAGTTACGTTAAAAAAACCTACACGGGTGGGCACTGATCCTTCACCGCTGATAAAGAGCCATCTGCCTTGACAGATCGGTCGCTTATGTCGTCAGTTTGCGAAAGGCCGGACTTATTTAGTCATCGGTGTCCCGGCTAGAGGCGCCGTTTTCTGGAAGTCCTTTCCCAAAGTCCAGGCCAAAGTTCAAGCATAAACCAGCTGTCCGTCCGGAATGTGTCCAGAAAATCAGCTTGTCCAAAAAATGTCATTTTGACGACATCATTTTTGTCATCAAAGCGGAAGCCGTACAACGATTCAAAACTGGTGCGACTTAGGAATTTTGGGAAAAGTGCGTTCCCATCCCAGTTCATAAGTCTCATAAACTAAAGAACATAGGGCGGTGTACAGCTTCCTCAGATTTGGGCCTTAGATTTAGGTCTTAGGTCCAGATTTCTATTTCATGTTTCAAAACGAATTATTTTCTAGCGTCCTCTATCAACAGCTTGTTATATTCCACAAACACGTCGTTTTGAACAAAAATATATCGGCTCTTTAAAAAATCTGCAGATTTTTACCCCATCTGTCCATCTTTCAAGCGCGACTTTTTCGGATTCTTTTAACTTTTTTGAAAATGATTTACTAAAAAAAGGAATCTAATCGGCACCTCTAGCCGCAGCGAGTCGCGCCATTTGCAGCGCGGGAACGGCAACACGACCCGCGATTTCGAGCAACACGACCCGCGGCAACACAACTGCGCGTCGCGCTTTCCGTTTGCATGGCAACTGCATCACGGTACAACGGTGAACCCAAACACAGCTGGCCCACATTCGGGAGTTATGATGCTGATTATTTGGTCCGCGGGCAGGCCTCAACCACGTGGTCACGAGGCGCGTATCATAAAAAAATCGTTAGTCTCAGATTGTGGCTGAGACCCACGCGAACATCTGCAGCTTTGAGCCTATTGACACATAGCAAATGTCGTGGCCTCATGCGCCCTAAGGTTGTCGCTGCGGGCACGTTCGTTCCATATTGCAGCTGCAAAATTCTCACACTCATACCACATGAAGTCACTTGGCACATGCCATGTGCCCAGACGGCTTGCGGGCAGCAGGGACGGGTGCGCGGGGGACCGGCAGCACGGACGGGTGCACGGGGGAGTCGGCAGCACGGACCAGTGCACGGGGAGCCGGCCGCACGGACGGGTGCACGGGGGAATCGGCAGCACGGACGGGTGCACGGGGAATCGGCAGCACGGACGGGTGCACGGGGGAATCGGCAGCACGGACGGGTGCACGGGGGAATCGGCAGCACGGACGGGTGCACGGGGGAATCGGCAGCACGGACGGGTGCACGGGGGAACCGGCAGCACGGACATTGGGGAACACGGACACACGACGGGTGGACGGGGGAGGGCCCTCCATGACGTCAGCATTCAAGTAACGACGCATGGCGTCTTGCGCTGCATACACAGAATATCTAGGGCGCAGCACGCGCAGAGCGAGGCTGAGACAGTCCCTTACATCATCGAGCGACGGCTTCGCCAATGGAGATGGGCAACGTCCAGTAGTGTGCTGTCTTTGGGCTAAGCGCACATTCGGGCGCCCGGCTTCTGCGTGAATTGGGTGCAATCGGAATGAACTTCGGAAGCAACCAAGTTTTGGCGGAGTCGGTGTGGAATAGATTCTTCAAACGATCGAGGTAGTCGGGTTCAAATCAGAACTTTATGGAATTTTTTGATAAGTTGGCCTCACGAGAACACGACTGGAAAATACGTCATAACGGTCACCTGAATTTATAAATGGACCAAAAATATAGTTCATGAAGTAACCCGCTCTTGTTCTGGCAGTTCGCACTACTGAAAATTGCACACCTATTTATCCCTGACTCATTACCAGAATATATCTTATACAGGCTTGCCGGCTGCCAGCACACGGCGCTTTCGCGTGTTTTCTCGCCACAAAAACTGACAATGTTCTCGGACCGCATTTTCCGAATTCCAAACCGCCGTCGGCCGGAGCCGCACGACGTCCGCGGAGTCGCTCGACTTCAACGCCGCAGGCGCTCAAGTAGATTGCACTCATGCTGTGTCAGCCGCGAGTCACGGGGCGTTCGCATGGTCCGGGACCGGACTGACTCCCGACTCCGACTCCACGTACGGAGAGTCAAATCCAAAATCGATTCCACCGCCTGGAGGCTGAGTACACTGAGCATCGGGTATACCCGACAGCCAACTGCATCGCCTAATGAGCTGCTCAGTGTTCGGCTAATAGCGTCAGTCGGGGGTCCAGCGTTGTCCATCGACGGCAGCGTTGACAATGTCACAAAGCGATCCAGTTATACCAGGCCCGGGCACAGCGAGCACATTGGTCGTCACTACTGTCTGTGGATCTTCAGCAACCCCTGATGTGACAGACCCGATAAATGGCCTCAGGGAAGATCTACTGGCAACGGCAAAAGGAGGGTAACAGACGGATGGATACACGAATTCGCTTGGTTCCGACGGTATCGTGATAAGACCAAATATAGGCCCTTTTTGCACGATTTCTGGTGATAGAAACTCATATGCATCGGCCTCATACTGGGTTGTTGAACCACCGCACCGCATGGCTCTGGGGATGCGGGTCACTGCAGTGCTGAATGGATGAATGTTGCTGGATGTCGCTGAAACGCCCTGGATAGGCCAATCAGGCGTTGCGTTCGCTGATTTCGCACACTTAGTCATAACCAGACGAGCTGTTCGACGCACAGTGTTTGAAGCCATGGCGAGGAGTCCACAGCGTCTTCAACGTGTCGGTAAGCAGAGTACTGCGCGACGGACTGCGCCCGCGGTCTGTGCCCGGAGTCTGCCCGTGGTGCTCGGAGTGCCCAGAGTCTGTCCGCGGTCTGCGGCACGGACTGCGCCCGCCCGACTGAATTCCTACCACAGAAATGTTACATTCGAAGGGATTCCACCCAACGAATTGAATGGATCGGATAACCATAAAATAACCATAAAACAGATGCGTTCGGCGGGTTTCTGCAGATCAAGCTTTCGAGAAAACCGACGGCAGGCTAACATGGGATGGATTCCCTTTGAAAAATGAGTTCATTCTTACCCCGCCGGGGGCACCTCTTGATACCTTCCGTCGGAGAAAAGCTTCTTTAAGAGAGAGCGCACTGACGAAGAGAGAGGAGGCCTTGACCCACAGCCTGAGGGACGAGAGAGGTGATTCACCTGCTTCCGTTTGGCGGTGGCAGTTGGAGCAGCCTCACGGATCGAACGGATCGATAGCATCCAGTAACCAGTGACGATAAGCCGCTGCTGTGGTGAACACGCTGATATTCAATAAGCGGAGACCATATAACATGGAGCTGCTGCAGGCAATAATTCCGAGCTGGCCTCACCAACTGGAACATTTGCTATGTCTGGCGCATAATTGCTGTCCACGAGCAACGAACCTGCACGTCATTTTGAACGGAATCCCAAAACAAGTCTGCTCCGATAACTTTGCCGTGCTTCCTGACCAAACCGACGGAAGGCTATTCAGCATCCCTTAATGCAAAGTACCCAGGCATTGCGTCCAATCTCTATGTGCAGTTCCCTTCGCGCGCTCAACGGTCGCCAACTCCAAGGGTCTTGGTCACCATCAGGGTCTCCAACGGACAAAAGTCGCCAGCGCTGTGAAACTGGCAACGAAACCTGATTACATCGATAGAAAACATATCTCTGATGTTCCTTACCTATACATCACGGGCTTTTCCGCCGTGAAGGTTTTTGAAGCTCAGTTGTTGTGCGTAGATGCAATCTGGAATATAGCTCGCGGCGAAAACGACACGGTTGTATTGCGGCAGTTGAACTAAAGTCCACAGCTATGTATCCTTGAATCTCTACCGAAATTTTCAAAACCGACATCCACCCACACCGACACCCCCCCCACACACGTGCACCCCCCCCCCCACATATATATATATATATATATATATATATATATATATATATATATATATGTATGTACAGACATGTGATATATATATATATATATATATATATATATATATATATATATATATATGTGTGTGTTTGTGTTAATACAGATAGACAGATAGATAGATAGATAGATAGCGTCAGGTGTGGCTAGGTTGACATTGGTCGGTGCGGGTAATGGATGGACACGGCTTGGCTGGTGATGGATGTACAGCGGGCTCCAAGCAATTTCACCGCCCCAGACAGTCATTACAACCCGAAACACAAGGGTGAACAGCAGCTCATCTTCCCCATAATTTCCAATTCAGTGCTCTTAAATATACATCAGGCCGCCCCCTTTCCCCCGGGAGTGCTCAAACTGGCCTTCCTATCAGTGAAATCACCTGAAGGAAAGCCAGCCTCCAGCAAAGATACCAACTGAGAAACAATATCACAAGAAACGGCCGGGGTGTGCAGCGTTAATTGTCCCCGTGTTGTTACTTTCAAGGATTTCAAAATATAAGGGAGCTGCGGGGAATGCGGCCCCTCACTGTCAGGTAACGTCTCCGTCTCTAACCACGCACAGTTGCATCCGCTGCTCTGTCATCATCCGCGCGCCCAAACCGTCTCCGCTCCACAACCACACACAAAAACCTGTGAGCCACTTCCGCCAGCAACGGTCGCGCCCGCCCGCGGTATTGGTCCCGCTCCCTCAGAAGGCGCTGACGTACGTCAGATCTGCCGCCCGCCGGCCGCGTCTCCAGTACCTCCTCGTCCGGTCCGGTCCGGTCAGTCATCGCCGGTGCACGAGCCCGCCCCCCCCCCCCCCCCCTCTCCCCGCCGGCTGCGGACCGGTGAGATCGGCCTCCCCTCCCCCCGAGGCAGGACCCGGTCCAGCGGGCGACACGTACCGACGTCACGCCCAGCTTACGGCGTCATGAGGTTGACCGCGACGACTGCCACCGGTCGCCCGGGTCGGCGGTCCGGTCCGAGGCGGACCGCGGTTATCTCGCCGACGTAGCACGACGGCTCAGCAGGGACGTGGCGGCTGTCAGGCGGCGGCCTGGCCCGTCGCGGTCGCAGCACCACGCGACGCGCGGACCTCACTGAGTCGTCCGACGACAAAACAGACGTGTGAAGGCTTGTGCAGACATCTGTCATGATCGTCTGATGACCCGGCGTTCGTGTGACGGTCAAGGTCAGTGCCGTCGCGTCTTTTCAACACATATTCGCGTAAGTGCTCGGCGACCCGGTACCGATCCCATCCGTGCAGCTGTTTTTCTGCTTGAGCTCATAAGTACGCCCGCCTAGACTGCACCAGCGATCCCCAAGATCCGTGCGGATATCCGGTCGGGCCCCTGGGCAGATCCGCAACGAGCTCCATATGGATCCGGACGCCGACCCGTCCGGAAATGCGCCCTGGTCCGGATAGATCAACCGGGCGATCCGTCCGGCGGCCCAGCGCGACCCGCGCTGACCGGGCCACCAGGCGGGCCGGGCGACAGCTCCGCACGCGACAGACCGGCTGACGGCGCTGCCGTGCTGCAGGAGCACCGACAGCGCGTGAGAACGGCACCGCCGGCGGGGCCGCAGCAGCCGAGGTGTACCGGCCGTCACCGGGCGCGCGGACTCGGCCGCCGCTAACGGTCCGGCGCGGCCGGCGCGGCCGGCGCGCGCCCAACTGCAAGTCACGACGGCCGAGGGAGCCGCGCGAGAGGCGAGGCACGCATGCCGCGCGTGCTCCGTACGCGTCAGCTGGCGGCCGCGCCGGCGGCGCTGCCCTGCCCCCGTCGTAATCTCACGGGCCGATCGCAGCGGGTCAGGCGCGGGCTGGCGTCGCACGGTCGAGGCATGAGGTGCGGAGGTCTGCGGCAGGGGCGGGGCGGGCTCCACAAGGTGCCGTGCGTCACAGGGCGCCGGCAGCCGAGGCACGAGGTACGGAGGTCTCCGACAGGCGCGGGGCGGGCTCCACAAGGTGCCGTGTGTCACAGGGCGCGGGCAGCCAAGGCATGAGGTACGGAGGTCTCCGACAGGCGCGGGGCGGGCTCCACAAGGTGCCGTGCGTCACAGGGCGCCGGCAGCGGACGCCGCCGCAGACTTGAATCGAGCCGAATTGGACCGGATCCGGCCCGACAGCATGAAATGGAAAACTCTGGCCAAGTTGTCTCAAAGTTGGCTGACAGCCACCTGCCCCCCCCCCCCCCCTCTCCCTCTCCCGGCGCTCCAGCTGCCTTTCGGCCTCCTACTGGTCGCAGGTCACCACAGCCGATCCCGCGCTGTTATGCATGACATAACCGGACCCGGTCGCCGCCCGGCTGCCGCCACCTAGCGGCGACACACTGCGATCGCAGCCCGAGACGCCGGGCCGTGGCGACGCGTCGCGGCCGCGGCCGCCGGTGCGGCGGGTCCAGGGACGCGAGAGTCCGGGCGCCGCCGAGTCCCGATGCTGACAATTGCCGGGCGGTGAACACGACCTCCAGCCCTAATGATCCCAGAGGGCTCACCGGAACACGGAGGGAGCTGTTCAGAATGGGCCTGCTCGGGCGCCAATGGGAGGCCATCTAACGCCGTGTGGCGCACACGGAACGTGGTCATCTAGGCAGGCCATAGTCTAGGCGTGTGTTTGTGGTTGGCAGCTCGTCCTGCAGTGTCATGCCCCGTTGCGAAACTGCAGTGAAAGAAGGTTTGCAAAAACAAAAAATATCGCGCCTAAAGGAACATCGTAATGTATTGTATTATGTTGTACAATCACAGCATAAATAAGTCTATTCCCGCTCCAATGCACCTTATTTCTCAAAGGCAAATCTTGAAAACTTAAGACTGATCGCCGGTCCATTGGTTCGACGGCGTGGTGTGACGCATGACCGGAATGGAAGTGAGCTAAAGAGGCTGCTGTGCGGTCCGCTTTGTTTGCATATCAGGCGTTTGGGTGTCAAAATTCAGAATATTCAGATGCATCCATCTCCACCCGGTTCTAATTCGGGAAGATATAAGAATAAAACCACGGAATCGGTTGCGATATTCTATTTTTAGTTTTAAAAAATCTGCGAAAACTTTTTGCTAAATCATAGATTTAGATAGATTAATTGATGCGGTCGACGCCGACGCCAAGCGTTGCTTGCTGCAGGAAGCCAGACACCGCTTTTCGATCGTGGCACCCCGGATCAACGGTGGAATGGCACGGCAAAACCTTAACGTGCCGCAACACTCGGCACCGCGCACCCTAACCGAGTGTAAAACCCTCTGACGTCACCTGACATTTACGGCACCCGCTGCTACCGGTCGCAGTCTATGCCAGGCAGAGCCAAATAATGAGCAAATAAAGCGATTCGAACCGTCCACACCACATTCCGCTAATTAGAATGCAGGCGCTCTAACCGAATGAGCTACTGGAACGGCCTACGAAGGGGAAGAGAAATATCAATTATTTTCGCGGACAAGCTCGGAGAAAAACATTGACGAAACCACATGTTTGGGATGAGGAAACAGGAACCATAGCAAAATCTGATCACCAATTTTTATAGAATTGTGCCTGGTTTCCGTGTGGGAAAGGCGAATGGACCATGGATATGAAATCTTTGCATGAAGCTGTTCTTTATAAGAAAACCTCAGTAGCATGGAATCCTATGCTGGCACGGCCAGTCGTGTATTGTAGTTGGCTGGAGCCAAAGTTGCATATACATCGGACATTTTGACTCAGTGATGTACGTCGATGATGTTTTCCATGCCTTAATTTAGACCACATGGTTCTGCAAGAGGTGTCGCGCCTCGCCAAACTCGGTTCATTATATCAAAAAACTGCGTTGAGATGTGGTCACCATTTCTAAACGGAAGCTAGGCACAGTCATCTGCATAAAAACGGGTAATATGCTTGCGTTATGCTTCGTTGTTTTTCATTTTTATTATGTTGTTTTGTTACTTCGGAGGCGCCAATTTTTTCCTCAAATGCTGAAGCTTGTCCGCAAAATAACAACTGAATTACCCTTCCCTCCACTCTGCAGCCCGTCCAAATATCTGAGTTGGTTAGAGCTCCTGCATTCCGATTTACCTACTGGTGGCGTGGAGAGCTCTACTAGCTTTATGAGCTCGTGTTTTGGTCCTGCCCGGCATGTACTGCGGCCGATATCATCGGGTGCCGTAAAAGTCAGGGATGACGTCAGAGGCTCTAGAACCCAGGGCATAACGTGCGGTGCCAGGCGCCGCGGCGCGTTAAAGGGAGTGATCCACCTTTGTTTGGGGTTTTTTTAACTGTAAAAGCCATCTGGAATATCATTCGGTGCAGCTCATGGCTCTGCCATTCTTAAGGCTTGAGCCCCCCACCCCCAGCCCCTAGTTTTTAAGTTACACGCCCGTGAAGATGTGCAGACTTTTTGGAGACTATTTCAAGGTCACCCAGGCATCTACGACTTTTAATATATAAGACAGCAAAAATACGTGGATGTCCTGTGTGACTTGCCTGACTTCGTAGCTGAGAACCATGAGAATAAGTAACCATGAGTCCTGCACTGGTAAAAAAATCAGTGACAACCCAACCTCCAAGGTCCAGTGTTCTTAAAACAACCGGTGCAAACCAGGAATCAGGCCCATGACCTGATATAAAAAACTTGTGGGAACCAGGACCTAGGGCTTGGTTTTTCAAAGGAACCAGTGGGAGCCAGGATCAAGGTTTGTTATCGAAAAAAACAACAAGAAATATAATCATGGATCGTGGTTTGTAGAAAGCCCCAGGATCCTTGCTTGTCACAAGATCCAGCACGAACCCGGATCCAGGGCCTTGTCGAAGCAACAAGTGGGCACCAGGATTCAGAGTTTTCCTTTGTCGAAAGGACCAATAAGAACCAAGATCCTGGATATTAGTGTGTCTAAAGATACAGCAGGAACAAGGATCCAAGCTTTTGCTCTGCCAAAGAAACCAGAAGGAACCAGGAACCAAAAATGGGAACCAGGACCACGCCTAGTCTGCAGGCAAGCAATTAATGTGTCAACTATTATTAAGCGGTTACAGTGCGCGTCAATTATAAATAATAGCGTGACAAAAGTCCACGCGTGACAAAAAATGAAAACCTTTGTTGAACTGAATTTTAATTGAATTTTGTTAACAAAAATTTCAAATGAGAAAACTTAAAAAAATTTAAAAATTACAATTTACTTCAAAAAACTATTAATAAAAATATGCGATTTCGCAACACGTGTCACGACTAACCAGCCGGCGGACGGACGCTGGCACAAATACCGTCGCCTTTCCGCTGCATACTGCCGGCACGAGACGAGGAAATGCTCTACACACAGCCGGTCCCCACACATATCGCGCTAAGGTGGGGCCTGGCGCGTCAGGGAGAGAGAGTGCGTTGCATACGTATGACCCAAGCGAAGTCCACAAGCGCGACTTCCTGGACTTTTGCGGAGAACGGACCCCCAGTTACTAGGCTCGGGCTTGATTTCCCTGAATGAGTGAAGATGCTGCTCAAATATTCTCAGCCACGCGTCGCGGACGCAAGTAGATATGCCCGAGTTGGGATCTCAGCAGGTACGTAGCCTAACAGTAACCTCATCTCACAAGCAGCAACCTCCGCTGCAGCGTGCGCTTTCTCATTGCCCAGAATTCCGGCGTGACACATACATCCACATATGGGGATCCACGTAAACGTGGATCCCGATATGACGGATCCACATTTATGTGATTAGGGTGTTGGTGCTGGTTAGCCGTTCCCGTTCGTCCAAATCGATCGAAAAATATGAGTGAGGTGGAGACGTAGAGAGTGATCCCCGCAGACAAGCGCACATCCAGCTCCTGTCG